GCTATAATAAAAACGCTATAAAAAACGCTATAATAAAATCTTCATCATATGCCGTTTACGAGTAAACGTTTGAGCGTGTTTGAGCCTACAGTGGCCTCGTAATTGTCCGGCTCGTCCTAGTAATCGCTCAAAAACGCGTCAAGGAGAATGAAATCAATGAACAAAACGAAAAACGTATTTTGGTCCGATTTTACGAACAATATTTCTTACAAAGTGTCGGTGTTATTTCCCAATTTATCCGCAATGTTGACTGTCTTTGTCAGTGGGGTTTTCTTAGCAACTTTCTGAAATTTCAATTTTACTTTCTCATCCAGTGACGAGGACCAAAATTTAACTTGATTATAATCAAACGTAGCTCACTGAGTTTTTTATTCAAATCTTTCGTGCATTTGATTATCGTTCATTGCAAATTGCACAAAAATCAGCTATATCGCTTACACTTCAATCGCAATGGCAGTAATGATTAACTTCAATTGACATTAACTTAAGTGAGTGACTTGTTATAGTTGTTGCAAACAGTACTCGAATAACTATTTAAGCTAAACCGTGCGCTGTGCCGCAGTTAACTAGTTGTGTAGTCTACGAGGGTGCAAAAACCAAAAAATGTACATGAAGCAATCAAGCAACATCACTGACTCTAGTCTAAATACAGTACATTTGTGAAGAGATATACTAAAAATCGCTCAAAATKTCTTTGCAATTCAAACTCTGCTTAAAATCACGCAAAGCCGSTCAAAGTTTCGGCAACTCTCGGGCCCGGGGTAAGCCTTCCTTCGAGCTTTGTACCGACCTTATACGATTTTAAAATCATTATGTCATCTTCAAATATATGATTTCCAAACTACACGTTCACTTCGAATTTCAGTCTCAATTAMAATGACCTCCTTCCGCATACCACCTTGAATTAGATTCACRCCATAAAAAGATCTTTTCGCTGCCGATAAAATACTCGTAAATATAGCATTATAAATTAAAGATATACTCGTGTTTTGAATTACCTGAAATATTCCAGCCATTCTACTTTACACTATCTTCGAGGAGAAGAAGCAATGATTGTAGGATTCAAAAACTTCTTCCTGTTTTTGTCCGTAATCGGTTCATTGAGTTTTTCCTGTTAACAGCTGTAGTAGCAGCAGCTGGTCAAAATAACGTTGACAACTAAAGATTGTGTAGCAATATCGAAATGCATTATTGGTCATTGTATCACCCCCTTAAAGGGGGTGTCACTGTTTCAGAGTTACAATTTCAGTTCTTTATCTTCGATGGAAAGCAATTAAGTTTAGAATTTTCACTTTATAACGAAGCTAAAGTGGAATTAAACAGCAATAATGCATTGCGGTCTTGGTATGCACTATTCAGTCAGCATTCAGTCAGCATTCAGTCAGCATTCAGTCTTCAAGGTTTTTAAAATAGCAGTATGTAGAGAACCAAGCGTATAATCGAATTTCTGATCTAGAAATACCGATATAGCATGCTCAAAACAGCGAACAACAACTGGAAGCCTAACAAAAGCAAAACACTGAATTTAAAACTTATCTCTGTAAAGTTATCAATTGCTATTAATAAATATTGTTAATTATTTACTATTAGTTAAAGTCGTGAAGTTGTCCCACAAAAAAATAAAGTTTTCTAAACAGTAGCGTATGGCCTAAACTTCACTTATCTTCTGTACAACTATTAGTTAATAGATTATTAATTAGTAAATATTTAACAATTAGACCTCGAGGTCGAGTGGACTACGAGCTAATAGCCCATGAGGCCGAGTCCGCGAGGCCGAATGGGCTATCAGCTCGTAGTCCACGAGGCCGAGAGGTCTAATTGTTTTAGTATAAACATACTAATCGGTCAGATAATGAAAACAAATTGAAATATCCTTAAAATAATTTATAATTTATTTATTT